GTCCAGGCTGAGGCAGAAACGGTGTGAGGAGGTCATTCACTGAGGTAGTGCTAGCAATTTTTTTAGCTTAGCCTAATCGCCACTTTTTTTTCAATTTGTTATCCAGATGGTTATAATTTGACTAAAACAAGTCAAATCAAGCCCTTTTTGTTTAGCCAGTATAAGTCGGTTTTAGCATTTGGCTAAATTGGTGAGTGTTAGTGCTACCCCAGATTCACATTGACAGTTTACTAAGATAACAGTAGATTATGTGTGTTTGGCTTATATGTAGGCCTATTCCTGCTTCCATGGATAAGATAAATGAAATTCATCTATATTTTCTATTGTAGCATAGCTGCCATTGGCTAAGAACAATAGCTAGTATAGCTAAATGGCTCTGTCTGGCAAATGATTTTACTAGCTTTATGTCATAGCATCAAAACACCTGCTGCTGTCTTGGGCAGAGCTAAATAACTGTCCCTGTAATCAGCCTTTAGTATTAAGTTGTCTTTCTGTGAAACGCATGTTAAAGCTAGAAAACAAAACAAGACTGAGAAGCTTCATATATGAGTCACTAGTTCTCTCTCCCATTGTAATCCTTCTATATTGGAACCATTCTTGGAGCAGTACAGTTAATTGATTTTTTCAAATGTCCTGTTATTGACAAATTTGGGTTCAAACTATTTGTTTGTTAAAGGGATAACTGTTTGTCAATACATTGCAAACCACTCACAGAATATAGAAAATTTCAATTTGCCTCCAAAACAATTATAGCAATTATTCTGGAATCTGTGCTTGCCATCAAACCATATGGACCTTCATAGATGGCTACACTTCCATAATTATCTTTCAAGAGATTATTACAAAAAAAAAAAAAAATTAACATAGGCTAACTTTGAATGTTGGAATGGAGGCATTTACCATTGTTGATTATAAGAAAGTCATTGTTTCCCTAGGAAAATCCGTTTTTTGCCAAAACGAATATTTGTTATCCCTTCAAGTTGATTGAACTTAAATAGGAATAATTATTATGAAAGCTTTTTTTAGATGATTGCATAACTTCATGTAGATCCTGTTGTGTTCTCTGCATGAAGTAATGTAAAACATTGGCCCTTGCGTAGTAGATAATATATTTTTATAGTAGATAATATATAGTAGATAATATATGGTAGATTATATATATAGTAGATAATATATAGTAGGTAATATATATATATATATATATATATATATATATATATATATATATATATAGTAGATAATATAGAGTAGCTGATATCTGGCCTGATGCTATCAGCACCCAATGGTCCTGTCCACTAAGGTCAAGGTGCCTTGGGAGAGAACAGTGAGCTGGAGATTGCCTGGATAATGAATATTTATGAGAAAAAAAGTAATAGAAGAAAGGGCAAGCCACTGATCAGAACTGATTAACATCTAAATGCAGTAATCTAAATAATCTGTGGCACCTCTCAGTTTGGATCAGTGGTAGAGAAAAGAAGAGAAACCAGGACTATATTGGATTATGTGTACAATCCAGTATTTAGGACTGGTGTCAGTTTTGTCATGGTCAGAATTGCTACTGAGTTATCCATGGTTGTATTGATGGGTTAGGATAGTTTCTCATGTGGTTAGCAGAGAAAATAATAAAGGAAAAAAAGGAGCTCATATCTCTACATAAGCAGTAGTTTCAACTGTGCATTGACATTGAAGCTAATACTATAACAGTCAAGAGTTTGTGTAAGAGCAGCATATCATTTACAGTGTGAACACAACCAGTGCAATTCATAAACATTTTATGGGAAGACCGCAAAGTGATTATGACAGATTATTAATAAATAGTCAGATGTTCCCTATAATTATTATAATAGTACATTTTGTCTGCTCATGTAATCAATGCACATTACCAGGTGTCTTGTCTGCCGCGTGACCATCTTTATGTATATATAGTTCAAGGATTGCAGTGTATGCACAGACATATTTCTTCCTTATGTTTAGTTTATTCTTTGATGACCATTCCTATTGCACATGGATGTATTCATGCATGCAAATGCCCACATTTACTCTCCTCTCTCTACTTCACAGAGATGCAGTTTCAATGTATGTGTGACTCAATGTAGCATTTTGTGGCCTTTAGGTCTATTGAACCTATGAAATTGGGAGCCATTACAAGCAATCAGCAAATGCATTTTGCTGCTGTTCATCCTCACTTCAAAGACCATTAATTGTTTTCCAGATGGTCTCGCTTGAAAGGCCAGTGGTAATTATTTACCAGATGGAATCAGATGGAACCCACTGTTTTAATATATTTATGAATTGAGCAGCGTGATAAAATGTGTATCTGCTGGTTCTGAGATGTTGGACATGTACTGTAGATGGCACCACAATGCAACTCTGAAACCAGAATGAATCCCTTTTTGGGATATCCCAGACACTCGAATCAAGGAATATCTATCCTTGCTGGGATAACTTGGATACAAGGATCGGGAATGATATCCATTCTTACTGGGATGAACTGGGTCATTAGAGGTCGTCTAGTATTGTACAGATATGAGGGGATGAACTGGGTCATTAGAGGTCATCTAGTATTGTACAGATATGAGGGGATGAACTGGGTCATTAGAGGTCATCTAGTATTGTACAGATATGAGGGGATGAACTGGGTCATTAGAGGTCATCTAGTATTGTACAGATATGAGGGGATGAACTGATGAGTTACATTGATATACATTCAGCAGTTTTATCCCTATGGAAATCATTAGGAAAGCCTAATGTCTAATTACATTGATCACAGTAATTTTTATGATGAGCAAAATTAACTAAGTCTGTATAAATATATTAAAATATATCACCACTGAGGCCTACGTACTTGGGTGTTTCAGGAGGAAAATCTACGTTTCCTGTTACTGCATTGTTATGTTCATGATACCTGTAATTTGTGTTAATTTTTCCATTTAAAATTCTAGACAGTTATGTTTTTTTTTTATACCCTATACCAATCTGAACAATATAAAATGAGCTTTTCTCCTATTTCTACATGAAATTTTGAAGTCATAAGCACATAGTCATTTTTGATTGGAAGTAAATTGATTCAATGATTAGGCTATACTTTGAGTGAAGATGGCACACAAATATTTCCTTTAATAACATTTTGTAATTCTCCATATTCACTCCTGGAGCAAACTTATTTAGCATTTAGTAATTTCATAGCTGGACTTGAATGTCATAGCTTCTTGGGTTGCACAGAAATCTGTTTGCTATGGTGTGGAGTCTCTCCAGGTTTTATCCAATAAATTCCCCATTGTTGAATAAAGCACTAGTCTAAAGGTGGTCACTACCCCCCAGGGAGACGAGACTGGTGATTTGCCTCTCACTTGCATTTCATTCCAATTAATCTTTGCCAGCACTCTGGACCCTGAAGTTCTGCAGGGGTTTGCTGGTTGGGCTAAGCAGCCAGCCACTGGGAAATTGCTACTATTGATCAGGTGCTTGTTATGGGCTCAGATGGTAAATGGCTAAGTTGGAGTAGAATTCAAGGAAAAGGGATTGTTCCCTTTGAGGCCTGTGTGACTGCATTCACTGTAAAGGGTAACATTTCGTAAAATTGAAAAAAAAAAATGTAACTAATTTGTCAGGACAAGAGAGGACATGTCTTTGTACGCGTGTATTCACATTTCTGTCTGTAGTGGTTTTGTGAGATGGGTATATATAATACAGTATATATGTGAGATGGGCATATATAATACAGTATATCTGTGAGAGGGGTATATATAATACAGTATATATGTGAGATGGGTATATATGATAAAGGATTTCTACAAAAGTTTATACGATAAAATTTTTCAAAATAGATGTGATTTTGTTGTAAATTAAATTCTTGTCTTGTCAATTCCAGACACAGCCCAATGAACATGTGATAGACCAGGGAGATGATGGAGACAATTTTTATGTTATAGACAGGTAAGAAGATTTCTATGTTATAGATAGGTAAGAAGATTTCTATGTTATAGACAGGTAAGCAGAAGATTTCTATGTTGTAGACAGGTAAGAAGATTTCTATGTTATAGACAGGTAAAAAGATTTGTATGTTATAGACAGGTAAGCAGAAGATTTCTATGTTATAGACAGGTAAGCAAAAGATTTCTATGTTATAGACAGGTAAGAAGATTTCTATGTTATAGACATATAGAAGGTAATAAGACTGATAGAAACACATTAGTATGTCTTAAATATCATTGAATGTAGTTTTAAAGACCAGTAAACATTCTCTGATATGAAGTTTTTATTTCCACAAAATGCTGGCTTCACTTTTTAAGTGATATGAAATCTGTACAGGATGTTAAAAGTCAAAAACACTGAAAAAATTCAAGATAGATCCAACGAAATAAGTCGGCACCACTATAACCGATTGAGAGGCAGAAGTTTTTTTTTTTTTTGCAAATGTTCACGAGTAAAAGGTTCTGCCATTTGCTCGAGAAATTTTGCTTTTGCGATGGAGAGTGAAGAAGAACAATGTTGTTTTAATTTTAAGTTTTTTCATTTATTTATTTATTTGTCCACTCATTGGTTTGATGACAATTTGATTATTTAGTAAAACGAAACTAAGGTCTTGGTAAAAATAATCTTACTGGTCAAAGCAAAAGGCAATTGTGCACTGAGGTTATTTTGTTTATACATTCATTGCTGGTTCACTTCATGCAGTGTTCTCTTGATATATATACATATAATTTGTATGGATATAGTAATGCTCTAATGGGAAGTTTGTGTTCTGTTTTAGTGGTACCTATGACATCTATGTTGATGACAACCTTGTTGGTGCTTATGAAAACCAAGGCAGCTTTGGAGAACTTGCCCTGATGTACAACATGCCCAGGGCAGCCACTATCATTGCCACCTCTGCAGGGAGCATCTGGGCCATGGTAAGACACTAGGGCTTCGTTCACATGCAATATCTATTTTCTAAAAATCTATTTTCTATTCACGGTATATCTTGTGATCATGGTCTGTGCCCTGAACATCCCGTGGCGTAATTACTGGCAGCGCGAGCCAGTTACTTCCAAAGCTGTAATTAATTCTCGGCGCTGCCAGTAATTATGCTGCGGGGTATTCAGGGCACAGACCATGATTACAAGATACCGCAAATAGAAAATAGATTTTTAGAAAATAGACATTGCATGTGAACGAAGCCTAGGACTGGCTTCTCATACCTAGATTGATCTAACAGGATGAATCCATCTCCCAGGGTTTTTTCGTTAAATTGCATTCAGTTTAAGTGGCTTAGATGTCTGGCATGCCTACTGAAGCTGCTTAACAATAATAAATTACCCCATAGCAGCTTCAGCATGCATGACAGGCAATTTAGTGAGAATCCCCTTAGAAATAGATCGATCCACAGTTAGTAGGATAGGATCTGGGAATGGTCCCTATGTCTTAGATGTAGGCATTGTTTTAACTTGATATAGTGGGGTAGGATAACAAATACATATTTTGTTACAGCAGATTCATCATGGCTCAAATACTACATGGTCACCAAGCCAACAGATATCTTTATTATCAGCAAGGATTTCTTGGAGTGTGGGGATGGATTAATTCACAAAACAGTGTTTTTATCTGACTGCTTTAAATTTTGACATCACCACTATTTGTGTCATTTCATGACATTGTGACCAAATAAAGTGATGTTATACTTGTGTTTTCACTTCCTACCATGTGTCTGACCTGGGTCTAAAGACCAGCTGGCATTTTCTCCCATGTCAATATCTATTCAGCCCTGTATTCATTATTTTTTATCTGGAACTGCATTACATTTAATGGCTTTCTGATGAACCTATACTGAACATTATAGCAGCAGATAATCCCTAGTTAAGTGGTATCATTGTAAGATAGAGAGGACACAGAATGGCTGTTGTTGTAGCAGACCTCCCAGAGGGTTTAGCTACCTAGGGTGAATGACGTCAAGGTTGCCCTCAGACCTATGAAATAGGCTGCTAGCACAGAAATCTTGACCTGGTCAACTGGTACTGTTCCAAGAGATCTTTATGGATGTCATATCATCTCAGATGTGTAGAATGAGGTACAGATAGGGGAAGAAAGGGGAGGGGGAGAGAGAGAGAGACTTGATTTTTCCCCTGTATAACTCAGATAGTAATAACCATTATTTTGCTATATACTCCAGTGGTTTTCTGTTAGCCTCACTGCACAAAGACATGGTAGTCTGTGGGGAGACATCAGTCTGTGATACATTATGTATTCAGAGTCCCAGCTTTTAGTGGCAATCAGCTGAATACTTTATAACAATGCCATGTGTTTGGCGCCTGGTGTATGAGACAGTATACACAGGTGCCAGCATAGCCTCTATGCCATCCATTGCCTGGTGCATAAGGTTATCAAAAGCTGATTTAGTTTTGAGAAATATTACTCCTGAAGATGGTGTAAATTCTATTTTCCATTTTATCCCTCTCTCCTTTCCTCCAGGCCAGTGTTTTGTGATAGAGATACACCTCCTTACAATTTACTGTTGGGCTCTGCCTAAAGATATTTTCTTTAGCTTCAACATTTTTCTGTTGATAATCCTGAAATAAATGTTTTACTTCCTTGCAAAAGGGTAAAGGTGGAGCCGAGCACAGCATGGGGGTTGTACATGTTCTTATAGAAATGTAGTGATTTTAATTTTTTTTTATTTTTATCTAGGACCGTCATACATTCAGAAGAATAGTACTCAAAAATGCCTTTAACAAGAGGAAAATGTATGAAAACTTGTTAGAAACTGTGCCTATGCTCAAGACACTAGAGGTAAGGAAGAATCAAGATTTGTTCAATGGCAGAAATGCATAAAAACTCATGTTTTTGCTTACATTGGTGTGTAACATATATGTGCAGGAGTACGGGTTCTCGCACACATGCGTGCACATATGGACATGCACATGATCTCACACACATGGCAGCAGGGCTGTTCATAGGTAAAATGATTTATGTGAGCGCGCGCACGCGCACACACACACACACACACACACACACACAGTCTTAGAAAGGAGAGCTGGCAGCCATTGCTGCTTATGTGTCTGAATTCCAAGTCCATTAACATTTAGCCTGTCATTAAAAGAAATAATGTAATAGATAGGGAAATACCTGTTGTTGAATATGATACCATGTGCTTCTGTAGTTACAGAAACATGCTATCTGCAGGTATACTCACCAACATTTATTATGACCAAGTACAGGGGAAAACTCGACTGGAATGTATTTTTGGAGGGTCC